TTTTTCTTATACATAGTTTAGTAGCCTACTATTCTTTTTGGCAGAATTGATCATTAATCAACTTAATTATTTCCTCGATTTTGTATCACCATAGTCCCTAAATGTATGTACATGCAGGAAATGGCATTCAAATCGAAAACATTTTCCCCCATTTTGTGTCCCCCCCACTTCTCAAACCAAAGTTACACCCTTGTAATCAGGTGCGGGTGATCTACTAACAACACAGGTGCAAAATAGGTTATACCCATAAATCACATTGCATGATGCATTTTAATACTCTCCTCTGAAATTTCAGGTCTGAAAGGGAAACGCCTACAAATGCATGTGCAATAAGCCACAAAAATAACTCCACACTTTTTCATCGCAAAGTGTTCACTGTGTGTGTCTTCGGTAAATCCTGATAGTGCTTTTTTAAATGCAAAAAAAAAGAGAGAGTTTGTGCTGGTGCAAGCTGTTAGTAAATCTGTCCCTAAATGTAATATCAAATAACAAAATTGCAAACAAGTACTTTACATGTAAGTCAGCACGTTAAAATAAGTGCACTTGGTAACACGCTATTTCAAGGTGTCCTTGTTACACCTTACATGTAATTACTATTTTAATAACAATAAATTAAGCATAATTACATGCAAGCCAAACCCAAATCCTAACCCTAACCATATAGTAAGTACATGTAGTTAATTAATATTACTCAGTACTTAAATGTATCATTACACTGTAACAAGGACACCTTAAAACAAAGTGTATGAAAACAATGATTTAAAATGTACTTACTTAAAACTTTTAATTTGACTTTATTACAAAGTGCATTTTGTACTCAGGTATGTAAAAGTTATGAAACAGTTTTTAAGTATGCTTAAATGGCTTATTTTATTCTATTAATGTATATCATCTTCAAGTTACATTTTTAAAAAGATATACTTTTAAGATTTGAAGTATACACTTGAAGTGCACATTCAATAAACTTCTTTTTCATTTCTCTTTCACAAGGGTAGATTGGGGGCTGGAACCAATCGAATGGCAACCAATCCAGTTTTGAAATTAATCACCAGAACAGAGTGAGACCAAGGTGAGAAATACAAAGTCTCCATAGGTGTAAAAATATCCCCTGGCAAAATAGACCTCTTTTCATGCAGTGATGTTGTTCCAGTCAAGTCTGCGAATAAAACATCCGAATAAAAGTTTACTACCTTGCCAGCAACCTACAGAGATCTGTAATTAGATCTGAAGATAAAGGAAGGTTTGAGTTGTAAGAGAGGTTTGCGGCTGACAAATATCACCAATTATGGTCTTATAGAGCTTCCTTTTATTAGAGTTCTTGAAGGTTTGATTGGTGGAAATGGCTGAGTCATTGGAAGCTGAGCGGCGGCGCTCAGTGCATCATGAGGTTAGCGGCCCGTCTCTCTTTTCTCATCAGAAGAAGCAATCACGCAGACAAAAGTCAGAGGAAGTAATCAAGGAGACAAAGGCCGAGGGAGCTGATCTGACAGAAGAACATGCTCCCTCTCGCCACAGCGCTGAAGATTTGAGTCAGCATAAGGCATACTCCCCCATTCAACTGGGCTTTACTTGCCAAAATGAGATGCCATGGTGGCAAAGGGAGAAATCGATAGTGGAGGATGGATGGGGAGAGGGCAGGAACAGACAAGAGAAGGTAAAATTAGAGATAGCAAGAGGGTGAGCGGAGGCATGACAGAACATATCAATAGTTGCACAATTTATCAAACGCATCAAAACATTTTCAAAGTTATATCAATTATACATGACTGAATCAAGGGAAGACTGATGTGCAGCTTGATTTCCCTTTGAGTTTAACAAAAACAACTGCCGAAAATAGAACTTTAGAAAGCTTTACTAGAGTGTGTCTGGAAGAAAGTGTTTGTGTTTAATTATTAACTGTCTTGAGCAGTTGTGGTTTTGAACAGCTCAGAAATGATAGGTTAAAACTAGACATAGGTGGTATGATCAAGATATATTATGATATACTTCTTTTTATGGAAAGCCAACTGAAAAAGGTGTGTATAGAATAAATGTAATGCAGTAATGCAGAATCCAGTAAATTATACTGATTATTTCTAACTTGTGTAAATTAACTTGGTGTAAAAAAAAAAAACAGTTATATATTGCATAACACTATGTGACTGAATGAATATGCACTAATTTAAACACAGGGATGACTGCACATTGGTTCTGTACTAATTGTACACAACTAACAATGCCCCTTTTAACAGGTTCTTGTCTTGACTTGAATGCATTTTGCCCTGATTGTTTTATTTTCTCCATTGCTCCATTTACTACAGCATAACAGCACTGCAAATTTGCCATCTGTTTACGCTTTTCAACTGTTGCATGGTGTGTATTATCACCAACTCATAACTGAAGCAGATTACATTATTATACTGTTTATAAAAGAAAACAGTCTCTTCTGCTCTTAAACAACAATGGTATGAAATATTATTATTTAAATTTGTAATACATTTTAATTTATTTACTCCTTAACAACTAAATTGTACTGAAGCCAAACTTCCAAATAACATGATATGGTATAATATGATAATATGATGCTGGATGCATTGTGTTGTGATTTTTATTTCAGGGGGTTGCAGGTTAAATAACAGAACTTTTGCAAACATATGAAAAATAAAACATTTTCTTAAATGAAACAACCAAAAACTCAACATGTCATGAACGTTAATTTTCTGAAGTATTCAGAAATAGATTTAAGCGTTTTATAAATACATTTAATATCAATAATGTTGAATGTAACATTATTAATTATTTTTAATTTGAGAACCACTCTTAAAAAAAAAAGCAATACTGATGCAAACTGCAATTAATAATTTCAAGCAAATTGCAAGCATTAAAAAAAAAAAAAAAACTATGCAAAATGGTAGAAAATGGTAGAAAATAAATTGAATTATCATCAATGGGCATGAAATGTATCCTAAGTTGTAATGACTCATATACTCCCCCTCACCACCACATGCAATGGTTCACAGAGCTGCAAAGTGCAAAATAAATAAATATTTATGTAGGATGAGGTCAAACAATCAATTTCATAGAACATTCAGCACTGAATCGTCCTCCTTTTGCCTTTTCAGACACTGCAGAGAAGAGTTGGATGGTGTTTTTTGACCATTCAAGCTGAACTACGCCAGAGAATGGCCTGTGTGAGTGAGATTTGCTAATGAGTCTTGATGAATAGCAGATTAGCTGCTCGTTCAGATTTATTAAGGCTGAAATGGCGTGGGAGTCATTTCACAAACACTCAAGCTCACCATATTGATAAATGGCTATGCTCCAATGAGCATGAACATAAGAGGTACACCTGTATATGCTATGAGCAAGCATATCAGTCTTCCCAATGCTGATGGCATTTGGTAGGACATTTTCAAAGGTCATGTGCTAGACGGCTGATTTGTGCATGTTCAATAGACAATCATGCTAATGTGAAGCAATGTTTTACAATACAGGCTTCATAAACAATTCTGATCATTTGAAAGCATTAATGTGAAACATTGCCTCTGATATAGTATTGTGACAGAGTATGTTTTAGGCTGTTTTCACAGTTGGTTTGATTGCAGAATGGCACCTGCATTTGTCTGCCACAAACATATTTAAGAGATTGGAAAAATGAGAGCTGTTTGCTGTAAAGCAATTTGAGATGAGCAGCTATGAGAAATTCATTATTCTATAATACATGTGATCAGGACCGTGCAACGATGCAAATTCTTTGTCATTAATAGCACTTCACTTCCACAATTTAGTACAGATTATGACATGACTTGTGTTCCAGAGGCGATTTCAAGCAGACTTAATATGTTTCCTTGGTTTGCACCCAAGTTTTGAAAGCCACATTTCCACCAACCAAATCACACAAACTCTAATGTCATCCTGACCCAGATGTGCACCAAAAGCTGTAGTGTGAAAGCACCCTTAGATGTTATAACCGGTCTTTCAACAGTGTTTGAATTGTAGAAGATGGTGCAGCAATAGTCCAGTAGATGGCACACTTTCTTTTCTCTGCAGTGTGCTTCCATGACACAGAGAGAGGAAGAGAGACAGTATCTGAGCCTCTGTTCATAAGCATTCATCTTCTATATCCATTAGAAGTCCAACATATTTGGTGTACTCAAGCATTTCAACAATTTCAGTGTGCTCAGAAGGAATTACGTGGTCTGGACTTTGAATTAGGTCCTCTGATGTTTGCAGCGCATAACTTGCTGTGAAAACAAAGATTCCAGAGTCTTTATAAAGCATGGTGCTACCACTGTTGGAATTGGGAGTGTTGTTTAGATCTGGCATCTGTTTTATCAAAATATGTATTCTGCATTATTTGAGAAACTAATTTGTGTGTTTCATTTAGCATTATCCAAAGAACAATTAGTTGACACCTAGGTTATTATATTTTGGACACATTTCCTACTTTTTATTTTGCTTTGTATGTTGATTTTCTATCGCAGTTTGGGTTTCCATGGGTAGGTAGGTAGGTACTGTAGGTAGGTAGATAGATAGATAGATAGATAGATAGATTATAACAGACATGACATTAGACTGGGGTGCATTTCCAGTACAACGACGTAACTCGCTGCTTAACCACAGTATGCTATACCATTAGAGAAATTAACTAGTTATTCATGACTTTTCCCAAAACCGTAGTAGCATGGTGGCGTTTAAACCACACAACAATAGGACTGTCGTTAATGACATTGCATGCAGGTGGTGCAGTAATAATAACTTCTGCTAATTAATCAATTTGAGAATGCAATTTAAATGTCAAATTATTGTAGTGCATTTACACAAACAACACAAAATCACATTAACATGCAGTATGTAATTGGTGTACACTTTATTATTGCATGCGGTTCATTTCTCCACAACGCAATTTCTCTGAGATGCTGTTGTAACAGACATGGACTACTTCATTATTTTTATTCCTTAATTGTTTTGCTTTATTTGATGCATTGTATGTCAATCAGACAGATGCTTCTTGACTTACTGGGTTGGGTAGGCATAAGAGACTAGTTTAAAATAAACCATTGAACAATGACTGAAACTGTGTTTGTTTTAGTGCTCATGCACTCTACAGTTTCAATACAATAACACAAATAACTGTGGTCTGCAGCAAACTTCAGACTTGTAATCACATTGGGGCAAATTTCAGTCAGAACAAGTCAGATAAAAGTTAGAAACAACTCAAAAAAGACAAACAGCTCAAGCACATGAAAGTAGCTAAAACTCACATTCTGTAGACGCTCCAGGCTCTCCATCGAGTGCTGTCGTGGTCTTGATGTTCTCATTGCTTGGTGTGAACAGCACTTGTGTGGGGCTTGTGGGAGCCACCGGAGGAAATTCTCCATTGGCTGAAGATGAGAGAAAAGACATAATAAATTGGTGTGGTCCAACAATACTCCTGCAGTCAGAGAAAATGTTGCAGGCATTGTTAAAACACAGTTTCTGTAAGCCTATAGATAATAGCTGTATTTTGGCTCAATAAAAAATACTTTTAGATAATCCATTTCATTAACAGTACCCAAGCTGGTAATGATATCCACATCTTTGTCTTGAGAATTGTGTTAATATACGAGACATACACTGAAAAAAATGGCTCAACTGTTTGCATATCTTTCAGATGTTAATCATATGCTAATAAGGTTGCTTGCTGATGATGTAGGAGTCTTAAATGGGTGAACACTTGACCTCAAAATCTTGATATGCATTACTCAACAGGGAAAATTCCATGTCACTTAGTCACTACTTAAAAATGCAGATCACAAATGGACAATAATTTTATATACGAATAAAACATAACCTTTAGTGATAATTGCTAATACATCAAGAATTTATGGCATTTGTCATTTTTACTTTCATTGGCAAAAGCTGTTACTGGGGTCATGTAACATCTAAGCCAGATGCCTTTGCATTTCATGAGGATTTTCTGCTTCTTTCTCTCTTTGACTGGATTTGACATTTCCATCACTTCCCCTCACGCGATTTTCATGGGGAAATATTGTATGGACCTCTCGATGCTTAAACATGCAGAATAGTAAGCACTTGGGATAAAACATGTATTATCTATATAATTTTACACCAGTTGCATTGTCCAGTTCTTGATTCTGATTTGCTGATATGTTGATTGCACAGCTACGGGATAGCTCTTGTTGACTGCATAACATTGGCAAATCAAATTTCAGTTTTCTAAGGAAGATATTTTATTGGTGGCACAAGGTCAGAAAACCTGAAAAAAAAAATGCATCTTTTAAAAGCAGAATCCCATTATTGTCATGGGTTAGGGTGGTTTTCAAAGAATTCTTCAAAACCTCAGTGGGATAAAATATCTGACAGAAACAAATATTTAAGCATTTGTCTTTAAAGAGTTTGTATACAGTTTTAGTTTAATTATGAAGTATGTTATACTTGTAATTCTTGGACATAAAACACAGACAACCATAACTCCACACAAGTAGACAACCACCACCAATGGAGTCAAGAGTTTAGTTCATATTTCTTAATTACTATGACAAGCCACATGAGCTTCTGCATTGTTCCAATTGTCAAATCCCTGTGAAGACAAATCATCCTATTCCCCCAAACGTAGCTGCTCAGACAATACTGGAACTAGTATGAAAAATGCTACCTCTCATCGCCATCCCTTAATCATCGCTTTAAAAATACTACATCCACATCCAATTCTACCATACTACCATTCCACATCCAAAAGGTGCAACCCAGGCTCATTCAAAATACGTGCCTCTAAATACATTTACGCAACACTGTTATTACATACCTTACTGCATGTTTACGACAGTTTCAAAGTAAAACGTCCAGTGAGTGGTGCTAAAACGTGGGTTCAATATGTGACACTGGCACATTTTTGTTTCGTCGATATAGGCACGTATTGCTGTGTTTGAATTGCGTATTGTGGTGGTTCATAATTCAAAAATGCAAGGACTGTCGCTAAAATGCTCTATCGTTTTGGAAATATCCCCTACACCAAACCCAACCCTAAACCTATTCAATAGTGTTAACAAATGTAAAAGTGATATAAAATGCATGTGTTGATGCAGCCATGCTATTTTAACTTCCTCATGCGGATTTGAGCTGTTTTGTTTGAACCGTAGTTTCACAGGGTTCGTACCAGAGCTGTTCATCACTTAAGTGCAACGCCATATCGCGTGAGCTACCGAGCAAACCAGTTAGCAAACTCATGAATATGAAGCTGGATATGTGACGACTCAAAAGTATCAGTTTTCAAATCTCGCAGCGTGTAAAAATAGTTTTGAATTCATAACATAATATTCCTCAAGTAATTATGCGAAAATTGGGCTTTATTTATCGAAACTGTGGACCTGAAAATCATACTTTGTGTGAAAAATAATAAAAGTTGTTGTAGTTTTACTGCCTTTAGTGTTCATTTCAAAACTGCAGTGATTTGTATGTATAGGTACGTTTCGTAGAAATGTAGGTAGAGGCACGCATTTCCAATGAGCCTATGTTACAAAGGTGCTCTGTTGGATTGTGCTCTGGTGACTGTGGAGGCCATTTAAGTGTAGTGTACTTAATATAATGTTCAAGAAACCAGTTTGAGAAGATTTGAGCTTTGTAACATGGTCCGTTATCCTGCTGGAAGTAGCCATTATTAGATGGGTACACTGTGGTCATAAAGGGATGGATATAGTCAGCAAGAATATTCAGGTAGGCTGTGGCATTTATGCTCAAGTGGCCCAAAATGTAAAAAAAAAAAACCTTCCCACACCATTACCACCATCAGCCTGAAAGCCTGATACAAGGCAAGATGGATCTATGGTTTCATGTAGGGCTGTGCAATTAATCGACATACAGTTTCGATTTCGGCTTCCGATTATGAAAATGCAATAATCGAGATAAAACGATTATTCTGCCCCATTCCTCCTTTCCAGCGGTGCAGTTTGGCTCCTCCATAAAAGCCCAAACTCAACGTGCAAATCATTAAAATCTTCTAACGTGATTTTCACAAAATGGGACGTGCTTGATTTATTAATGTTTATTAGATTTGTTAGTGTTTCTAAAAGCGCAAAAGAGAACTTGCGCTGATCTGTGCATGCGCTCCAACACGGAGCAGAACACGGACATGTAAAGTAAACTTTTAGCTTAAACTGCATGCCTAAACGGTCAAATACACGCAAAAATGTGTCAAAATGCGGCGCTTGGTGATTATTCATGTAAACACTCGTCAGTTATGTCTTAAGTGAATGTAAACAGTTGAGAATGAAAATACGTGTGTAACAGTATATTGGATCCGTGCAGCTCTTAAAGCGACAGTGGGTAATATTCCTTCTGCCGTATCAGACAACAAAAGACAAAGGGAAAATCACTCACTGCTCTTGACTGAAGGGCTTTTGTAACTTTAATAAGAAACAAAGCAAGTTTAATTCTTACAGTAAAGACTATGCTGTTTTATTTTACATTTGATTATTCAATTTATGTAGTATGCTGTTAGCTAAATACTTTAGACTTGCATAAAAAACTTACAGCATTGTTTGTTGTATTTATATGTTTTTTTTCTATTGTTTTTGACCTTTGCTTTTGTTTTTATTGTATTACTGAAAGTTTATTTATTTTCAATAATTTGAGGAATTTTATCACTAATATAAAGTTTTGTGCATATGACCCACTAATAATCCTGTTAAATAATTGTGATTACAATATTGACCAAAATAATCATGATTAATATTTTTGCCATAATCGAGCAGCCCTACTTGATGTTATGCCAAATTCTCACCCTACCATCTCAATGTTGCAGCAGAATTCAAGACTCATCAGACCAGGCAACCTTTTTGTTCAGGTTTTGTTCTTCTATTGTCCAATTTTGGTGAGTCCATGTGAACTGTAGCCTCAGTTTCCTGCTCTTAGCTGACAGGAGTGCTATCTGGTGTAGTGTTCTGCTGCTCTAGCCCATCTGGTTCAAGCTTCATCGTGTTGTGCATTCAGAATTGCTCTTCTGCAGATCTCAATTGTAACAAGTGGTTATTTGAGTTGCTGTCTTTCTATCAGCTCGAACCAGCCTGGCTATAGTCTCCTCTGACCTCTGGAGTCAACAAAGCATTTTTGCCCACAGAACTGGCGCTCACTGCATATTTTCTCTTTTTCGTGCCATTCTCTGTAAACTCCAGAGATGGTTGCACGTGAAAATCCCAGCAGATCAGCAGTTTCTGAAATACTCAGACCAGCCCGTCTGGCACCAACACCCATGCCACATTCAAAGTCACTTAAATAAACTTTTTTTCCCTATTTTGATGCTCAGTTTGAACTTGACTACATGCCTAAATGCATCGAGTTGCTGCCATGTGATTGGCTGATTAGAAGTTACATCATGCTACATTATTACTTTTTATGAAATAAACTCTTCCAGATGGCAGTGCTATACTTGGCAGGCAGTCATTCTATATAGAAACTAAACCACTTGCAGTGCAGTTCATTGATTTTTGTTGATCATAACATAATTATTTTGTTTTGCACTGCTCATTTGCAGTCTAGACACGGTGTCATATGCAATGTGCCTTTCTTAGGGAAGGGCAAGGTTTTTCAATTGGATTTGGTAATGCATACATGAGATAAATAGAATAATGCACGCTTCTTATCTGATTTCAACTGAAGCATGTAAATGTAAATTTAAAAAGTGTCATTCTACATTTTACTTCCAAAATGACACAATACGCTACTTATAATGCATTACCTATAACATTGTGATGTAACCACTAGGCCATGGCTCTGACTATTCATGTATTTTTAATTTCACTATGGATGACAAGTTATCAATGGTTTGACTGCAGCAGCACACACTGCAGTAGACAACTTTGGCTGGTGGTCAAAGACAAGACTTGAACTATGGAAGAATGTAATCCTTTGCTCCAGGGAGAACTGTCACTCAGCAGTTTTTTTTTTTTTTTTTAAATCTGCCAGGACAATCAGAAAACAGCTTAGTCATCACTCTTCAAATACTTCAATATGTCTCCATATCCAACTGGCCAGTTGTGATACTTGCATGGTAGGTCGACGATAATCCAAATCCTAAAGCCCAGAATTACCTCAAGACCTTACAATGAAAAAAGAAAAAAAAAATGTTCCCTCATCATTTTAAGTCACTTTATTTCATTTCTGTACTTGCCTGAAACATATGCCATACATTTCCGAAATTGTCTACACATGTCTGCATGCTGTGCTGCTGTCTCTGTTTTACTCACATAGTTTGACGAAGCACACAACGTTATGCCCTTTTTAAATACTGTGTTGGTCAAATTGATGTCACTTTTATTGATAATGACAGTAGAGAATGGACATGAAATAATGAGGGCAGATAGGGTTCATGCGATTAGGAAATGATGCAGGTCAGGCTCAAACTTGTGTTCCTCACATCAGAACCAAGGCTCAATATGTTAAGGCTGTGCTAGGGCACAGCTCCGTTTTGTGTTAGTATTCTAATCTCACATATACCCTGAAGGTCTGAATGAATTCAGATGAAGCTGGAAGTCAGAGCGGTTTCCTGCCCACTGTCAGTTTCTCTTAAGGCGGATGTCATATGAGGACTTTTATATGCGTGCTTTGTAGTCTAGATAGCAGTACTTATTGGAGAGCTGCAGGGAGAACGATAAATCAAAAATGTGCAAACTTGTAAAATTCTCTTGACACAATAGTAGGCAATAGTACTAGTCTATAATAGAAATTGCACCTACATATCTTTAAGCTTGAAAACTTAAGCCACACTTTAAAAATATATGGATTTCATTGCATCGTATGACAAAATATCAAACAACAAAGCATCATCTGTAAATATTAATGTATGAAGTCAGTTTCTTTCATGTTCACTCTACCAAATCAAAGCAGTTATAAGTTATGCATCTAGTTAAGTCATGAATCTCTTGATGGTGCAGGCTGACAGTCCTTGATGAAATCTGCTAGCTGTCACATCATCAGTTCACAGCAGATGCTGATTGGTCTCTGTTGCGTCTATAGCCAATGAGTTTGCTGTCTAACATTCAAGTTGTTTGGTTCTTTGTTTGCTGTAAGCAAGACTTGCAGAAACCCTCCACTTCCCCAGCTCCACTCGTACAGATCTGCTACGGGCCATTTTATGTATGCTAGCTGTGAGGCAGCACTATGTCTTACATGTTCACAGCTGTGAATGTATTGCCAGTAGCAAATCTTTTGGGGCTGCTGAAACATGCAGCAAAAAAATAAATAAAAGATTGACACCTTTCCCTGAACTATGTTTTTTTGGTTGCAATTCAGAGCAATTATCACTGGACAACATAATGTCTGACTCTAGCTGCCAGATAATTTTATCTTGAGTCTTTCTTTCTTTCTTTCTTTCTTTCTGTCTGTCTGTCTTTCTTATTTTCTTTCTTTCTTTCTTTCTTTTTCTGCAGTAATGGCTGATAAGTCTAAGCCTGGACTCTTCACAGACAGTAGGTTAACCTGAAGCTTTGCATGGTTTATGAAATCGTTAAGCGAATGTTTAAAGATTGGGACAAAATCTAGATGAATATATAAGCTACCTGAACTTAACTTTGGACATTATTTATCTCCCTTTGTCTACAATTCAGTATTCCAATATCTCCATCCAAATGGCATGTCTGGCCCACATAATCCCTGTGAGATACATTGGAGAGTTCCACTTATGCTGCTGAGAAAGCAAGGCATTCAATGTTGCTCGTTAGGGAAACACCAAACCATCGCTGAGCAGCTGGCATTGTCATAAAAGCAGCACTGGGTGATTTTACGAGGTTTTGGGCACCACAGGTAGTGCCGTAGAATGACAGTGTCTGGGAATAACATTCTAAAAAACCTAGTATGACTTTCCTGACAGCTTTTTTTATTTTACTGTTCCATCACAGGCTGCCGCTCTGGGTAGGCTATGCAAATTTTCTTATGGATATGACTCCCTGTTCCGAAGAGGAAACTAATAAAAACAGGATAAGAGAGTCTGCCGCTGTGCCAAAGCCAGGAAATAGAGGTAAACACCCACACAGTGAATCCAATGCCATCTGTTTCAATTGGAGAACAGTGAGATGAAGTTGTGGCCCTTACAGGAAACACACAACAATAGAATTGATGAATGTATTTATCACCACATGACAGAGGCCACGCCCACAGCAAAATATGTTCATGCAATTTTTCACTATAGAATGTTACCACAACCTCAACACAGGGGTAGTCCTACTAGATCCATCTGTGGTTAAGAGCCTTGCACCATGAAACAATGTTGATAGATCATAGCTTGTGATTTGTGGGGATAAAAGCAGCCTTCTGTTTACCAGCTCTGAGCTTTAACCACTAAACCAGGGCTTTTCAGCCCCAGTCGTCTAGGCTTCAAGGCCACTGTCCTCCAGATTTTGCTTTCAACATTCAAACATGTTGAGCACTTCTGCATCAGTTACTGAATTGTAATGAATTAGCATGATGTTTTAGATATTTTATTGCAGTAGTTGCATTGTATTGCAGTACCACTAGTAGTAGTTTAGTAACTTTTATTTCTATTTTGTTTGTTTTTCTAGTTTGTTTATTTTTATTGTAATTTTAGTCATGTGTGGCTGCTAAAGCTGCTAAAGGTATTATTTAAATGATTCAATCTGATGTTATTACTATCTAGTGTCATATATATATATATATATATATATATATATATAGATAGATAGATAGATAGATAGATATACAGATAACTACAGCATTTTCTTCTCTCTGGAGAGAACTCTAGATTCATCCATTCTATCTCATTGCTGTCTAGAAGAAACAACTGGTATTGTGTGGTTTTTCTATCCTAAGGGCCTTGTCCCCATATTATGTAGCTTGTACCACATTTTAAACAATTACATTTTAAACAAATCAGTCATGTCAACGATACACAATGCTCAGCCTTGGAAACAATGCTGGATGCTTAGACCGCAAACCCTAGTGCGATGATGTATAACTATAATATTTCATTTAGGCAGGGAATGAGGGCATAATGTATAACTCTACACATTCCGAAGTGTCATTGGAAAGGGAAATGGCAGAGAGGATGGGATAAATGGCAGCCGCAGAGCTGCCGCGTCGAATCGATGTGTGGCAGAAAATGGAGTCAGATACAAATTGCTGGGCAAATATTTCATGGAGCAAGTGAGCCATTCAACATCAGTGGCACTCTCTCTCATGCCAACGGAGAGAGATTAGGACGCTTTGTGAAGCGCTCAGATCTTATAAAGATATATATCTCATCGTGTCTAACGATGCTTTAAAATCATCACACTGTGAGGATCAAAGTACCAGCCATCAAGAGAGAATATTCCCTGCACACATTATTTATGTATGTTCAGGTTAAGCTGTCTGCTTTGCTGTGTATTATTTGTCTTTAATGCAAGGATACATTATTGAAAGCTAAAACAAGCTGGGATTATAAATGAATGTGTTTTAAACAGCACAGCAAACAACTGTAAAGCCCTATACACTCCTTCTGGGAAGTAAACCACTTTTTCCTCGCACTGTTGCCAGGGTCTAGAAGGGCAAATGTATGATGGAGTCAGTGCCAAGTTGATTCGATCTGCCAAACGCTGAAGCAAGCGCATTGGTTCTTTCAGAGAAAAAAAAAACTAGATACCATAAGGCTCGCAAATAAATGATCTTATCCTGTTTAATCCTAGAGGTTTGCATTAATGATTCCTTCCCATTCCTCTTTTTTTTCCCCAGCTGTGCAATATCCTGTGCTGATATCCGTCAAATCCCTCTAAAGAGCCTCCTCAGACGGCTCACAATTTCGTGCAAAATCAAAATGTGGATCTCAAGAGGATGCTTTTCTTGTCAATGTCCTCTTAGCACTGACTTAAAGGTCTTGTCATTCTTGTGTCATTACTGACCTGGCATTTCATTGAATGTGTCAGAGTTGTTGTTTGAAGAGTTGATTCCAGTCTCAGCAGAGAGTGATTTGTATGAAACATTTGGAAAGTCTTGTATATACAAACCTGAAACATTGCAATCTGATTCATTTTCACAATTCACCAATTCCAATTCATTTTCATACAAATGTATTTACATGAAGTCCAAACAAAACTTCAGCACATATGCCATTCCCAGCCGCCACATTCGTAACAGGAGCCATATGTTTAAAATTTGTTAAATATTAAGTCTCCTCCACTAGTTCATAAGATGAAAGGCAAAAAATAAACACATGATGTTAAAGGGGTCATATGATGTTGCTAAAAAGAACATTGTGGAGTGTCTCTTGAATGTGGAAAAATATCTAGGAAAATCTCTCTAGTTTAGCAATGCACTCAAGGTGGCCAGTCAATGTGCATTAATGTCTGTCTTCTGGCCTAGAGTAGCTTATTGTGTTTACTCTTACAGATTCCTGCATGTTGATGGGAATAGCTGTAGTAACAGGTCCATTATGAAGATGCCTGGCCTCCCACTCATGTACTTCTCTGCCTGCCATCACTCAGCAACTGCTGCTACTTCTGCTACCCTCATCCCCCTCTCTTCGAGAGAGATACCTGTATCTATATATATATATATATATATATATATATATATACAGTACCACCACAAATGTATACAGTAGAATCCATCATATTCCTCATGCTACATTATTTTGAATAAATCCCTGGGATTGAAAACCCCTTGCCCTCTATAAACTAATATCTCTCATATCAATAAATGGGTCAGAATTGGCTCTTTGGGTCATAGAGCATGACGCTTTGCAGAAGTGTTGAATAAATCAAAAAAAAAAAATTGGACTACAACAAGAAAAGGAAGGAGGCCAGGAATGAAATTTTAATCGGCCTCTGTGGACTGGAATTAGCGAGGCTCCGGATAACAAGAGCGGAGGTTGGGGCTTGGGGAATTGTGGAGGTTTTGGGAGGGTTAGATGAGATTCCAATCAAACATAGAGATAACAGCCTTCTATTTTCCTCTGCCCTCCTTACTCTTACAAGTCAAGAGCAGTTGCTAATTGGAGAGAAAGTGTGGATGAATGGTGAGTCTCTTCATTGATTTTTAATTTTTAAAAAAAAAAATTTACTTCTGGGTAGAGTGATATGTTGAGCATGGGATGTGCAGTGCTGCGCCGGGACCATAGGGACATGGCACCAGTGGAATTCATTAGGATTTTAGAGTAAATGTGTGGGTTTGTGCAAAAACAAAGGTAAATGACTACAGTTTGCGCAAAGGTGGGTGAAAACCGATTGCATATGCACCTAAAACTGGAATTTGCATTAATTCATTCTTGCAATTGTTTACCTGATTATGCCATCATTAAATTTCAAATGAAGTGCATACTCAGACCACGTTCAGCATACATTTGATGGTTGTGACTAGACTTACAGATCCACCAAACCGAAGAGTGGTAGGGTAATGAGTTTCCACCCTTTCCCCATATTAGTTTCACTTGTTGAGTTCCAGAGACTCCTCTGACCCTCAGGACCTGTGCTGTTCTCTATAATCCAGAGCGATAGCATTCCGTTTGAAGATCCACACACCCAGAACTTGACCTATAGAAGAGATCACAAAATCAGATTTAAACATCGATGCATGGGCCGTCAACCATTCCTTTCCAAAGTTGGCAGACATTTCATGAATGATTACTCATAATCTATTCTCAGCCTCAAATGGACAACCCACAGTGCTTTCACTGATCATTTGATGCATATTGTACACAAAAAAGCCAAACACTGGCTGAACACCAGCAGTTACGATATGCAAAGTAAATTTGGTTTATTACAGAAAGTGCCTTATTCACAGAAGTTTTTGCCAGGAGCTTTGCCAGCCACCCTTTGAGTTGCAAAATTAACGTTTGTATACATTTGCTACTAAGCATTTTTGCAGTAATTCATCAAATGTTTGAGATAAATGTTTGAAACAGGCACATATCCAGATCTGCAGTGCAGTCAAGCACACTTTAGGCCTTTAAAAGAGCAGTCGGGTGCTTGGTTTGCAGTGGTGAAGTGATACTGCATAGTCCCAGCAAAGTACACCAGACAGTGGTAGTCTGCTGGATTTTTCACAACCTAGCACTCAGATTTGCATAATTCATTTAAGCTACCAGGTGCAAAAACAATGCAGACAGTTCATGCAAATTAATAAAGCAGGAGGTGAAATTTTAACAATTGGCCATTATATATCCATAAGCAGAACAGTTTTTTTAGTCATATATGTTAAAAGAATATTTAACACAAGTTGAGCTCAATCAACAATACAGTGGTCTAAACTTGATTACCAAAAAAAATGGGTTAGACTTTATTTTAAGGTTACAGTGTTATTATACATTTAAGTATTGAGTAATATTAATTAACTACATGTACTTACTATATGGTTAGGATTAGGATTAGGGTTTGGCTTAGGGTTACTTGCATGTAATTATGCATAATTTATTGTTATTATAATACTAAGTGCATGCAACATGTGTAACAAGAACACCTTAAAGTAAAGTGTTACCAAAAATTGATTTAGACTTGTATGTGTGTTACATTAAATCACTTACAAAGGAATAGGGCCAATCCATAAAAATTTAAATGCTCACTTTCAAAGTGTTTTTTCCCCCGCCTAGATGGTTAGTTAGTTAGTTAGTTCTGGAAGCACATAAACTACGATAATAAAGTCTACATGCATTTCCACAAACATATTCATTGTCGTTTATGAACCAGGACTGCTGCACCATAATGTTTTTTATATTACGTCGTCATGGATTTCATATTCAACCGCTCTATAACAAATTGTGGTCAGTCACTTTTCCATGTTAATTAGCGGTTCTTGGTCAAATGAAGCTGCAAAATGGACAAGGCTTTATATCGATGTCAAAATTCTGGCTCTTTGAGAAAACGTGTGATATAGTGGAGGTTGTAATGCTTATATCACATCTGCTCTGAGGTTCATCTATTATGAGGGACCTATATGTCGGGCGACTTGCAGTGGGGTTGTGAAAACGGCAGCTGTTGAAAGGCGCAAGGCTTCTCCTATTACAGAATTCACGCTGAGAACTAGGGCTAGGGGGAGAGATCACAGTCGTAATCTACAGTCTTGGTTCATGTCTGGATCTAGTCCAATATGCTGTCATGGCCCGCTGTGCCTCCACACCGCTCTGGGCACCATTCATACAAGAGTAAGCCCTCACCTCACATCTATCTAAAGCTGTCAGGCAAGACTTCTCATAAAGCCCAAACCAACACCTACTTCTCCACCTGTGTTTCTATTTATGTACACTCCATAATTTCCCTGACATTTTGTTTATTTTTCTTACTTTCAATTCTTTATCCCACTGTTTCTCTCTCTTCTCCATCTCTGTCTGTCTGCATACCCTACGTTCCCTCTGAAACTGGTTGTTTGAGTGGTTTTCTTCAGGAAGTCTTTTGCAGTTGTGTAACTCACCCTTCCCAGCAGGCTTGTGTGTGAGCCACAGACTGATGGGGTCAAGGCCTATGAATTCTGAATCTAAAACGGAGACGGTCTTTCAAAAGCTTTCCATCTAGGCGAGAGCCAGGCATTTTTCCATTCTTCAAAACGGACATTAACATTTCACATTTGGTTGCCAAATTTCCATGTAATTACATTCAAATGACATTGAAATGTGGGTACAACAATAACCTTCTGATACTGGGCTACATTCTGTCGGTAGCTATTACAGAAGCAACTCATTAAAGCTATTGTGCATCCTAAAAATGTCACATATAGCCTTAAACACTGAAAAAGTACTAGGTCAAACTAAACCAACATTTTGAAATGTTTCATCATGGCTTAAAATGCTCACTTTCAAAAGTGTTTTTTCCCCCGCCTAGATGGTTAGTTAGTTAGTTAGTTCTGGAAGCACATAAACTACGATAATAAAGTCTACATGCATTTCCACAAACATATTCATTGTCGTTTATGAACCAGGACTGCTGCACCATAATGTTTTTTATATTACGTCGTCATGGATTTCATATTCAACCACTCTATAACAAATTGTGGTCAGTCACTTTTCTATGTTAATTAGCGGTTCTTGGTCAAATGAAGCTGCAAAATGGACAAGGCTTTATATCGATGTCAAAATTCTGGCTCTTTGAGAAAACGTGTGATATAGTGGAGGTTGTAATGCTTATATCACATCTGCTCTGAGGTTCATCTATTATGAGGGACCTATATGTCGGGCGACTTGCAGTGGGGTTGTGAAAACGGCAGCTGTTGAAAGGCGCAAGGCTTCTCCTATTACAGAATTCACGCTGAGAACTAGGGCTAGGGGGAGAGATCACAGTCGTAATCTACAGTCTTGGTTCATGTCTGGATCTAGTCCAATATGCTGTCATGGCCCGCTGTGCCTCCACACCGCTCTGGGCACCATTCATACAAGAGTAAGCCCTCACCTCACATCTATCTAAAGCTGTCAGGCAAGACTTCTCATAAAGCCCAAACCAACACCTACTTCTCCACCTGTGTTTCTATTTATGTACACTCCATAATTTCCCTGACATTTTGTTTATTTTTCTTACTTTCAATTCTTTATCCCACTGTTTCTCTCTCTTCTCCATCTCTGTCTGTCTGCATACCCTACGTTCCCTCTGAAACTGGTTGTTTGAGTGGTTTTCTTCAGGAAGTCTTTTGCAGTTGTGTAACTCACCCTTCCCAGCAGGCTTGTGTGTGAGCCACAGACTGATGGGGTCAAGGCCTATGAATTCTGAATCTAAAACGGAGACGGTCTTTCAAAAGCTTTCCATCTAGGCGAGAGCCAGGCATTTTTCCATTCTTCAAAACGGACATTAACATTTCACATTTGGTTGCCAAATTTCCATGTAATTACATTCAAATGACATTGAAATGTGGGTACAACAATAACCTTCTGATACTGGGCTACATTCTGTCGGTAGCTATTACAGAAGCAACTCATTAAAGCTATTGTGCATCCTAAAAATGTCACATATAGCCTTAAACACTGAAAAAGTACTAGGTCAAACTAAACCAACATTTTGAAATGTTTCATCATGGCTCTGCAAGCTAACAATGCAACCATTTGAAAAAAATTACTAAAATTTAAGAGCTATTATAATCACACTTGACATTTTATCAAAATATATCCCCCCCACCCCCCATAAAAAGTGAATGCATATGTGAAACACATATTATGCAAAGATAAACAATGTAAATAGCAGTGTGCTACAAGTGCTAATAAACAGCCAATATGCTAATAATAGGCATGCTAATAAGCATCTAGCTAATACTGAGAATTGGCTCCTATAGTAAAGTGTTACCATTATTTATTATAATATTATTTTAATTTATTATCATAATCATAAACACATTGGTTTGTAACTCAATTAGTATTCTTATTCTTCTAGTTATTACCCTATAGCAGCTAATGAATCATTACATATACATAAAATACTTTATTTTAAGGTATCCTGGTTACACATGTTACATGTACTTACTATCATAATAACAATAAATTATGCATAATTATATGCAAGTAACACTAATGCAAACACTAATCCTAACCTTATCCATTTAAAAAAGTACATGTAGTTAATTAATATTACCCAGTACTTAAATGTATAATTACCCTGTAAGAAGCACTCCTTAAAATAAAGTGTAACCAAAATAGCTCACATCTGTGCAAGGTAAGATGGATACATGTCAATGAATAGCTGATTCACTGAATTTTAAAGAACTGGGTCCCCTACAAGGATATCATAATTTTTCAGGGTCTTTGAGGGTTGAAAACACTTATTATTAAATGTATCACAGAGCAAGCTAACACACAATAGGTCTTCCGAGAATGTCCTCTATACAGAGAAAGAAAAAAATCTTAATGTCCCACTTAACCTGTATTCAACCTACAGTACATACTGCATGTGGAGATACATCAGTCATAAGTAGTATATTATTTTTGGAACATATTTTCTCTTCCTGCTTATCTGTGGCCATTACCTCCTGCTGCATTATCCTAACAGCTATATAACCCGTATCAGTATTCAGAGCATTTCTATAGGTGTAGCATTGATCGCTGCATGCATAGGGTAGAAGACATTTGCAAATAAGGCTTGATGGAAACTTCATTTCCTCAGAGATCCAGAGAAACCATGCATTACGATCGCTTGTGGAATGCAGAAATGTCGTCTTCTTACCATGCAAGGGGCGTTCCGTAGGGGGTAGAAGAAAAGCGGGCTTCGCACCTGGGCTGATCCTCGCTGACCTTTGGGCTGACTGTCGATGGCCAACAAGGCCCCTGCGGACAGAGTGATGGGAAAAAAAAAAACACTCATGAAACAAACGTACACATCATATCATCTCCCCGAAGAAAAGACGAAAGATAAAAACAGACTAAAACAAGTCAGAAGCTTATTGTCAATCTTTAATAAAGATTATTTATTAACCATGTCTGCTTAAATTATTTCACTTTCTTTTTAATTTATCAAGGTTAGTACTCAACTTGGAGTCCAAACAACAAAAAGTGCTGTTTTATTTAGATAAATAGTTAATCAAGCACAAGGTTAAGATGTTTAGGTGGAGGACCTGGGGATGGACAGCTGCTTCTGAGGCTTTGGGGAATGGACGGATGGGCCCTCCATTGTGGGCCCCTTCCTGGAACCAGCTGCCAGCCGCAATCCTCTCTTCCAAATGAGCAATAGCTGCCATTGAGGAATTGACCTGGTTGAGTAGGAGAAGACAATGAGACATTTGGAGAATATTGAGAGACCTTAGAGAAAAGAATTGAGAGGGATGAAAAGAAAAAGAGAAATATGGGCCAACAATCGTATCCCTTAGCTAAAGAGCTTAGAAGCTTTGATGAGCAATAGTCTTTGACCGTTTTTTAAATGTCTGAAGAGGCATAAGAGGACAGCTGAGTGTTGCTGAGTGCAAATGAGGATATGGTTTTGAGGTAAAGGAACAGAAAGCCAGGGAAGAATGTGTGTAAGAAGGCCATATTAGAAATGGCCTCAAAGCCCTTCAATCAACAGACAATTCATTCAATCCCGTGCAAGGCTGCAGGGATGGCTATGACCTTCATCAAGAGACATGGGGGGAAGAAACATGGTTGCCCTCCAGATATCCACTGCACTACAGAGGATACATTGCCTGCTGGCATGCAACTTACAAGCTTTGCTTGAGGTTTGTACAATCCAGAATTATGCATATAAAATGGCATGCTTCGAAGCAGTGGCTACATTCATGAAACAAAGTGATTATGGGAAATGGCACGTTGATAAATAAAGACAAATTTGACTATTGAGAAAATATAAACACCTGTTTTTTTTGGATTTTTACTGAAACAACCTTGCCCAAAATTTTTTCTACAAAACAATTAAACATAATTTAAAAAGACCTTGTGCTTCTATATCAATAGTTTATCTTAATAAATTGCATACTTGTTTATAGACCTCGGCAGGCAAATTTATGCATTCACAAATGTTTCATCTTAAAATAAAAAAAAAATATTTTCAGTACCAAGATAAGATATGGTTTTAAATCTTTTGGATCTGGTATTAAATCTTTAGACTAGATAGATTGATGCAACAAAAATAAAAAAAAAATGTGTTAATGCACAAATAAATAAATAAATGAAAATCAGTCTAATATAATTAATCTTATATTATGACAGTTGCTTCATAGTCAATCTGATCTTGTTTTAAGAATGTTTATATACTGTGCATCTTAATGACAACAAAACAAAAGAATGATACTGGTATTACTATTGGGTTGAGATATAAGCTTGACATTATTTTATTTTCCTTCAAATGAACCTTAAATAGACTTTTAAACAGAATCACAACTGCAGTGACCTGTGCGTCATTTCTTTATGTGGTCTTCAGAAGTCAGTTTTCAACAAACTTAACATTTTATTAAAGAGACAATCAAATCTTGTTGTGCAAATTAAATAAGCGGAACAGGTTTGAAAGAGACTGATTAACAGGTTGCTAATCAATATTAATATCTGTGGTGGCATATCGAACATGAGCAGTGACATTTAGCTTTGTTTTAACAATAAACAAAGCTCAGAATCCTGTTAAATCTCAAAATGAGTGTGTGTTGCCTTTCTCTTTGCACTGCAGGTGGACCCACTGAAATTTGATTACAGCTGCTGCACTGTATTGATCTGAGAGGTGTGAGGCAGGATCAGCTAATCATCCGCTGAGGGGAGATGCTGCAGCTCTGGACTCACTGCTATTAACCAGGAGAGAGTAAACACATCGACCACCTTGCCCATTCGTGAGGATTAGCATGAAGAGCCATAACAGCGAAAGAGAGAGAAAGATGACAAAGAAAGAAGAAATGCTCTGCATGATTTGAATGACACGGGATGAGATTGCAGCTTTCCGTTTTGCATTGAAAAGCTGCTGGCAGTATCTGTGCTGTGCTTGCGAAGCTGAAGGAACGGATCACTAATGAATCCTCTATGATGGAATGAAATTGCATCATACAGGATAGATTATGGCAGGTATGAAATAAAAGATCAGGACAGTGTGAGCTTCTGATCTTTAAGGTAAGGGGAGTTTAGTGCAGAAATTAAGAAGCAGAGAATGATGGGAAAAGGTGGGGCAGTCAGACAGAGAAAATTACAGGAAAATAGGCTAAATGTGGCAGATATGTCATCAGAACTGAAATCATTCGGTGGTAAAAAGTTTAAAAGTGCAATGCAGCAGTGAAAGTCTCAGACATATACTGTCAACAATTCAGTGAAAACAATGGAAGTTTCAGCTAAAGCGACTAAAAAGCATGACGATTTACCTCATCCCGCTAATTTGCATATATGTGACCCTGGACCACAAAACCAGCCTTAAGTCACATAGGTATATTTGTAGCAATAGCCAACAATACACTGTATGGGTCAAAATTATAGATTTTTATTTTATGCCAAAAATCATTAGGATATTAGGTAAAGATCATTTTCCATGATAATATTTGTTTGCACCCTCAGATTTCTGTTTTCAAATAGTTGTATCTCAGCCAAATATTGTCCTATCCTAACAAACCATACATCAGTGGAAAGCGTATTTATTCAGCTTCATTCAAAATCAAAATGTGAACCTTATGACTGGTTTTGTGGTCCAGGTTCACATATCTAGTATCAGTTTCACTCTGCTACTGTTATAAGGCCAATGCCTCACAGGTAGCTTACTCAGATTTTATATTATATGATATACAGTTATCATATTTACAAAACCCTTAGTATTAAATGAGTGCCATATAAATAAATAAATAAATAGATAGATAGATAGATAGATAGATAGATAGATAGATAGATAGATA